GATCCCAGTCCTCTTTCTACTATACCATACTGCACTTTGAACATATTTCATTCTCTGTTATAGGCAAAATTAATATTTTACATGACCTGGAAATGAAAAGCTATTTATAGCTTTTCTTAGGGCTTTTTTCTCCTTTAGCACATCTGCATAAACAGTTCTAATTTCTTAAAATTAGTTTAAAAGCAGGATAGCACAGAAAAAAATATGTTGTGTTGAACAACTACATCAAGGGTGACATTCTGCTCTGTCACCCTGGCTGGATTGAGTGCAGTGGCGCGATCTTGGCTCACTGCAACCTCTGTCTTCCAGGTTCAAGCAATTCTCCTGCCTCACCCTCTGGAGTAGCTGGGATTACAAGCGTGCACCACCATGCCCAGCTAAATTTTGTATTCTTAGTAGAGACAGGGTTTTACCATGTTGGGCAGGCTGGTCTCGAACTCCTGACTTCAGGTGATCCGCCCGCCTTGGCCTCCCAAAGTGCTGGGATTACAGGTGTGAGCCACCGTGCCTGGGTGATATTCCTTTTTATGAACTCTTCTGAGAATACAAACTCTGTGTGGGTGGGTTGTTATTTTATCCACTGATTTATCCCTACTGCCAGAATAGTATCTAATATACAACAGGCCCTCTATAAATATTGAATAATTCAACTTTCTTGGTAGCTGATTGTTTGAAGATATTCTATTTTTCACTAATATTTTACAATTGTATTTGAAATTCTAATTTTACATCTATTTTAGTTCTCTCTTTAAATAAAGTTATTGCTTTAAAAAATAATATATGTATATGTAGTGTAAATATTTAAACATATTTAATATACACTCAAGAATATATATGGACATATATTAATATCTTAGACTGGCATTTAGATTCTTCACTGACAATCTGTGGCAACAAAATAAGTTCTAATAGAGATGCAATGGAAACTATGTAGGTATGTACACTGATTATTGGTCCACATTTGATTTTATTTACATATAATAGAACAATATATATTTGAACTAAGTTGCATTTAACTATCTACTGTAACATCAATTCTCTTAGCATTGAATTTAAAATTTTTATGATACAGATATTTCCTTATAAACACTGATAACACTGGTTCATTTAATTTATTTTTATTTCAAAAGAAATATCTTCTAGGTCTTTAAAATTAAGCTAATTATCTTATCTAGGAAAAATGCAAATATTCTTATTTAGACTTTAAAGTAACTTTTCCCAAGAGTCTTCAGAGGGAACCCATGTAATATTGAGAATGATATTCTCAGCACCAGCACACTAAACACTGCAACAAGTTTCAGAGAATTATTTTTTCAAAAGCTCTTCCATGTAAGCCAAAATGTAATTCAATAAAAGGAGAGCTACAATGCATTAAAATGATATGGTTCGGATAGCTGTTTTTGGGACTAACTTCACCAAAGGATAGTTTTTAGACTCTTTAGAGCTGTGGTCTTCCAGCTCCTTTTGAACATATGCCCCATCAGTAAAAACAATTTGCGCATACATCCTCTTTATAAATTGTTTATATATTTATAAATTATATAGAATTACTGCCCTAATATATTTTTGTATTACAGAATGTACACACAATGAAAAATTTAAATGGATGAAATAACAGTAAATGTTAATAGAAGTTCTATGATTTTCTTCCTACATTCCAATGTTTCATTGTGTGCATCCCTTGGGATGACTCACCCCGTTCTGGAACTCACAAATAAATGACACTCCTCCACTGCTAATTTTTTGTTTTCCTTAATTAAACTTTTAAGAAAACATTGGGGCCAGGTGTGGTTGCTCACACCTGTAATCCCAGCACTTTGGGAGGCCAAAGCAGGTGGATCACCTGAGGTTAGGAGTTTCAGACCAGCCTGGCCAACATGGGGAAACCCTGTCTCTACTAAAAACACAAAAATTAGCTGGGCATGGTGGCACGCGCCTGTAATCCCAGCTATTCAGGAGCCTGAGGCAGGAGAATTGCTTGAACCAAGGCCAAGGTTGCAGTGAGCCCAGATCATGCCACTGCACTCCAACCCAGGGAACAGAGCAAGACTGTCTCAAAAAAAAAAAAAAAGAAAAGAAAAGAAAAGAAAAAATAACATTGGGCAACATAACTTCAAAGTTATTTCTTTGACAAACACTGGAGTACAGCTATGCAACTGGCTAGTGTGGAGTCACATATTTTATAGTCAGGTGGGGGATAATGCGGGGACTGACATCCTTTTTGTGAGTTGAGGAACTTGACGGAGACACACATTTGGCTAGAACTCTATTCCTTCTCTACAGAGGCAGATCATGACATGGCAGCAACAACACATAGGCAAATGGATAATGAGAGCCTCAAAACTCTGGGTCATAGGTCAGAGATGCAATACTGTGACTAAAATATATATTTATACATAAAAATATTCTTTTTTTTTTTTGTTTTTTGAGACAGAGTCTCGCTCTCTTGCCAGGCTGGAGTGCAATGGCGCGATCTTGGCTCACTGCAACCTCCGCCTCCTGGTTTCAAGCAATTCTCCCGCCTCAGCCTCCCAAGTAGCTGAGATTACAGGCACCTGCCACTATGCCCGGCTAATTTTTGTATTTTAGTAGAGATAGGGTTTCACCATGTTGGTCAGGCTGGTCTCGAACTCCTGACCTCAGGTGATCCGCCCAACTCAGCCTCCCAAAGTGCTGGGATTACAGGCATGAGCCACTGCACCCCACTAAAAACACATTCTTGTTACCTGTCGAGACATACAGTATCAGCGATAAAATTAAATCTCAAACATTTAGAATCAGCAATGTATGATTTCCAACTGTTAAAATTGTAGCATTTCATATCATTTAATAAACTCCTTGTAGTTGAATCTAGACAAATGCTTCAATGATAATTCAATAACAAATACTGTTAGGCAAAATAGTATGCAAAATCCTTGAATATTCACTCTGGATAACTCTTAAGACAATAATCAGTGTTTCCTTAGATTTTATTACACACTCATCAGTCAACACATTTTTCAAGTTCCTCCATTTCTATACTGGTGTGCCTCCAACTTGTCGATCATAAATAATTTTGCTGTAATAGATATCCTTACTCTGTACGTTGTTCAAATCTTAGAACTGACAGTTATTGAGAGTCTAAGTGCAAACGCTGTGCTGCATGTTTTGGAGACATTAGATCATCTGATTTTCACAACAATCCTGAAATGATTATATAATTACTCCTATTTTATAGATGAGATAACTAAGGCAGGAATTTAGGGTCAAGGTCACACAGCCAAGACTGAAACGTAGGTCTATCTCCCTTCAAAGCCTAGCTCCTTTTACTACACTGAAAAAGGGGGTTAAAATAACTGAACGAATCCAAGGATTTTCAGATGAAATGCATATCCTACAAGTGAAAGGTAATCCCTCTTCATTCTGAAAGCTGACTAGTATTTTAAGCAGTAATTACAGGTGGCTAAAAACTAAAGCCTTGGAGAGGATCAAGATAAGACTACTCTCCAATTTCGTATTATTTTAAGTAGTTTAAAATTACTCTTACTCTGCCATGCCCTTATCCTACAGCTAAAACACAAAGCTTATGAGGGTCAGAGTTGACTTCACGTTCAGTTGACTCTGTAAAGCCCATATTATTACCAAAAGCATAGCTCAACCCTCCTTCCTGAAAATCTTATGCCACAAAACACAGCATAATTCCAAAAAAACTAAATGTTAAAAGAACTAAACGGCAAATAAACAAAAACTTTTAAAATCAGTAACAAACTCTCCTTAATGATCAGTTTTATAATGGGTTCAATATTGCAGTAAATAATATTAAGGGTTACACTACAGTATAATCCGGATGTTCAATTCATTCCATTATCAAACTGGAAGTCAGATTTAGTAACCAGTTCAGACTACAGAGAGCCGGTTCATAATCAGATAATGGGGGAACTAGACAACTTTCCTAATGATACCAACTGCAGAATACAGATTTTAACTATGTAGGAGAAAAAAAGGCACTTTTCGGGTAGCACTTCAGTCTTTCAATTTACAACACATTTTCTAGTTTGCCAAGTCTTAGGCTTGAAAGAGACCTCAGAATATATCTGATGTTAGCCTCTAGCCAAATAAGTATTATTACAACTCACTTTAGAGAAGAGGTAACAGAATTCTAGATCTTAAGGCATTGGAATGTTTCAGTTTCTTATAGAGTTGTTTTTTTTTTTTTTTTTTTTAACCACAAGAACACAAGTTTTCCAGTAGGCCAAGAGAGATGTAACATTTACTGAGCATTTACAAAGAGTCAAGCACATATGTTATCTGTCATTCTCGCAGACCGCATATTACACAACAGAGATCTAGGCTTTTGCTCAAGGTCACAACTATAATAAGTGGTAGAAGAGAACGAAATCCAGGTCTGTCCACACAAAAAACTCTGGGTAGAGCTTGTTCAACAATTTCATAAATAAGGACAGACTTAAAGAAACACACTGGACCTATGGGATGAGAAATGACACTGACTCAACCCTGGATGAAGTAAAGCATGCAGTCTGGGGGAGGGCTCAGTCTGCAGGCCTCTGCCAGCAGTAGCTGAAGAAAGTGTGACCTTTACTCCAAACCCTACAGTGCGACAAGCCACCCACCTAGCTCTGCCTAGCGTGGGTTAATATGCCACAATTCGAAAAGAGAAAGAGAATGAGTGTTTCATGGTGGCTGCAGACACTTTCGTGGCCGCAGAAGTTGAGAAGGCTCAAATTTGGAGGTCAGGTTTGGGTTGGAGTCGTGCGTAAGGGAGCGGATGTCACATAGGTGGGGAAGGGCGCTGACTTGAGATACGTTGGCTTAGGAAGAGATGTTGCAGGAGAGAGGGTGAAATGCAGAGGCTAGGAGAGTAAACGGCTTCACCTGAGGAGAAGGAAGGAGTTGGGGCTGTGGGATGCCTCTAGTGGCAGTTGTCAGAGGGCCTCTAAAAGGTCCATTTTAGAGGAAGGGGGAAGGAAGGTCTCGATAACGAGCCATTCAGGGTCCATTACCTGCTGGATGGTTGTACAACGGCCTCAATTTCTCGGGCAGCATCAGCTCCACTTTATCGAGGAGCCGGTGGTAGGTGGCCCGCAGGCCTCGGGCACCGGCGGCCGACATCGCCGCCGAGGGATGGTGAGCAGCCGGGTGGGAGCGTGGCTCTGTTCTCGTCCCTGGCTGACAACGAAGGGGAGCTAGTCACTCTTCCTTGCCACGACGCCTGGCGTCCGTCTCTCGCCTGGAGAGCCCTTCCCGCGGTTCTCGCTGCCCGGCTGTGAACCAAAAAGCTGCCGCCCGCACCCCGCGAAGGTTGAGGGGGCGGAGGCTGCCAACGGCCCGCCCCTGGTCCGCCTCCGCCCCGGCAGGAGAGAGGGAGGAGGAGCCTCGGCAACAGGTGCCAAAATAATCACCTCACCGAGTCCGCCCAGCGCCCTGCTGGCAGCGCGCTTGCGCAGACTGAGCTGCCCGCCAGGATTGGCCCGCCCCGAGGCGCGGGCGGGGTGCAGCGGAAACCTCCTCTTTCTCCCCGCTGCCCTCGAGGCCATGTTGGAGAAGGGAAAGTGAAGCTGCGCCGGCTGTACTGCCCCTTAACTTTGACTAAGCAGGCCCGTAGTTAAAATGGGCTTTTCGGGCCTTCAGTGCCTAAAGATGATGCTGCACTATTCTCTTGCTTCTTTTGACTGGAGACTCGTGAGCGAGAGACTACAGAATTGAGTCGCTTCTCTCTCTACTCCTCTTTTATCCCTAGCGACTTAAGAATCTGGTTAGAGTGGCCCGAATGCATTTTTCCACGGTGAGGGCAGCCGCGGCACACACCAGCCTCAGTCCCCAAGGTGGTCGTCATCTCGCGAGAAAGGGTTGGCGGGGAGGGTATCCAGGACGAGGAGAGGGAGGAGTCGCCATCGCCTCCGCCTCCGCCTCCTCCTGTTGGAGGGGGGCCGAGGGAGGAGACTGTTGCTGATCTTTGGATGTTCTGGTTAGTCTAAGAAGGAGAGTATGAGGCGAGCTCCGGCTCGGGTGCGGCCGGGCTTCGGGGGCCCAG